GAGGAGGGGGACAGCCCTGATGTAAATAATTAACGTGACAAAGTGAAGTGTGTATAACAGAAAGGCGACGGCCCTTTGGTGACGTGTGAGTGCCCAGGAGGTCGCGGGGCCGGTGCCACCCGCGGGCAGCAGCGTTGGCCGTGAGCAGCCCTTGGTTTTGTGTCCGAGCGGGTAGCGGTCCGTGTGTGATAAGGGTAGGAGATGCTGTGTGAGGTGTGTATAGTGTACATTTTTAAAAATAGCTTGCTTGTATTGTGAAGATTTTAAAGACAAACTTGAGAATTCTAGCCTAACTATTAACACAAGTTTAACATCAGTTACCCCACTGGGTTCAGAGCCTCTTGAATGTATATTCCTTTTTGTAACCTAAATGACCTATTCTTCTACCAGTCAGCCAGACATCCTATTTATATTTTTAATTTTATATATTACTTTCCATTCGTTTCCATTATTTCCAGCATGTTCCTGGGTTTGGGTTTTTTTGTTTTTTTCTTTTTTTTTTTTTTCAGTTCGTTTGGGGTTTTGTTTTGTTTCTTTTTGCACAAGCAATGAACTTTTCACTCCAACCTGGTATTTTCCAACCTGTTTTCCCCCCTTCCTCTTCTCCACCCCTGTTGTTTTTTCCTTCCACCATCTGTTTGGGTTTTTCTGGGCCGGGATGCAGCGGGGTGGGGAGGAGGGGACGGCTCATTTTCCATTTGCAGCTTTTTGTGCAAATGCCAGGTCTTTTTTGCCGGTCAACTTAAAACGCTTCACTTGCTGGTTGCTTTAAAAAAAAAAAAAGAAAAAAGAAAACAACAACAACAACAACAAAAAGGTAACCTTATCAGTCCGAGGAGAGCAGGGTGGGAGGAGGGAAGCGCACACCTGTAGGGACACCGCTGGAGCTGCGGGGCCGTGGCTGCTTCCCCCCTCCTCCTCCTCCTCCTCCTCCTCCCCCAGGACCCCCACAGGAGCTCACTCAGCCCCACAGCCACCTGTGTGGGGTTTCCTTTGGGTCCAGCAGAGCCCGGCTGCTGCGGGGCCGTGGCGGAGCGCCCAGCCTGGTGGCTTTGTGCTGCAGGTAGAGAACACACATCTCTGCTGTTTTGCTATGAACACTGGTCTGAGGTTTCCAGGCCCTCACCCACGGCGGTGGGCTGCGAAGGATCCAAATGGGAACCCGACTCCTGCCTGCTTCCGTGGCTGGGAGCAGCAGCTGGTATGAGTGAACCTACAGGTGTGCGTTTTCCTTCTTGTAGAAAATGCCACGAGCACTAACTGGTAAGGCTTAATGTACAGTATATTGTCAGTATTCTGGTATTCTTCTGGTTCAACATACATTATAGCTCATATATAACCTGTATTAATTGTATAGATTGTGCATTTAAAGCTGTTACCAAGTTGTCAGAAAATAAGAGAAGAGAAAAAGAAAAAAAATAAGGTCATATGTAATATTTTGTTTGTAAGTATCCTTTGTATCATAGCAAAGGAAATGTTAAAAAAAAAAAAAAAATCAACTGTAATAAAGTAATTTTAGTACATGGAGTGTCTGCCTGCGTCCCTGGTGGGGCTGGAGGGTGGGGGTCCCACCGCTGTGCCTCCTTCTGGGGCTGGGGTCCCTCCCCATGCACTGCTGCGGGGTCCCTGCAGCATCCTGCAGCCATCCCGGCTGCCATGGCAACGGGAGGCAGCCCAGCTTTGCTCTGTTGCCTTGACAGCAGCACTTGCAATGGGGATTGGGAAACGGGGGCAGGATGGAGGTGCTCCTGTTCCCGTTATATCCGCCCTCCGAAGCCCCCACCCCGCATTACAGAACGCACAGGGGGACCCCCTGCAATGCCACGGCAGGGGGAGCATGGGGTGATGTTTCCTAATGGAGGACACAGCCCAGCAGGGATTGCAGCAAGCCCAGCCCCCAGCCTGACGTTCATTAAGCAGCACGTTCTGCTGCTCTCAGCACAGCCAGCCGTCCCCACGCAGTGCTCCAAGCGCGGAGCAGCGCGTCGCACCCTGAGCCTTCCTCTGCCCCATCACCATCCTCCCCCGGGCTGCCAGGTCCGCAGCCAGCAGGTCCAGCCCCAGGGGACACGATGGGATGGAGCCGGGGGCCGTGCAACGCTCACATCTTTATTGATACAAATGTACAAGGACACATCTTACAGGAGGCAGCGCGGCGCGGGGCAGGACGCTCGGGAGGGGAGAAAATGGGGAAGGCCTCCAGGCATCCCCTGTCCAGTGTAATGCTGCGGGCGGCCCTGGGGGAGCGCGGCCGCGGGGAGGGGGGGGGAAACGTGGCCACCCCAGCAGGATGGCACACGCTATGTACAGGATAAGGTAGGAGCGGGCTCGGGCTGCTGTACGGGGGCACCTCCCCGGGGCTGAGCACCAGCTCTGCTGCCACAGCCGCCCGCGCTCAGCCCAAACCAGAGGGAGGAGACGGAGAGCAGAGCCCGTGGGGCGGAGCTCACTGCTTCTTCTCGCGGGTGGTGATGGTGACCAGCTGCTTGGCCGCCTTGGCGATGTCGTAGGCGCACTGGATGACCTGCTGTGTCAGCAGCTGGTAGTCCACGGCTGCGCCCGGCTCCGGCGGCACGGTTTTGCGGCACTCGCTCTGCAGCCGGTAGGCGCTGGCGTTGAGCAGGCGCAGGGAGCTCCGCACCGTCTCCAGCGCTGGTTTCTGCACGGGGACAGCATTAGGGCACGGATTTGGGGTGATGGGAGCCCGGCAGGGCCACACCTCCACCCCTACCTTGGGGAAGAGCGATGCCATCTCCGTCACTGCTGAGTGGATCTTCTCTGAGCACGGCACGAAGCTGCGGGCAAACAGAGGGCTGAGCAACGTGGGCACAACGCCACCCAGCCCCCTGCTCACACCACAGCCCTACCTGTCGTGCTTGGACTCCTGCGCAGCCCGCAGCAGCTCCTGGATGTTCTTGGTGACCTGCTCAGTTTTCAGGATGACGTCCTCCGTGCTGGGCAGCCCAGGGTCCAGCTCCCCGTCCAGCGGGTCCAGCTCGTGTGGGAAGTCCTCGTCCTTGCTCAGCTCCACAAAGCGCTTCCCCTCCACACTGTGGGGACGCACGGGTCAGTGCCAGCTCCATGCCCCCCGAGGGTCCCCATCCCCGGCACTCACCCCAGCAGGATCTCGCCCGTCTGTGTGTTATCATAGTCACTGTCGGTGCCGCTGCCGTGCCGGTCCAGTTTGCTCTGTAGGACAGAGCTGCAGCATTACACCCTGCCCGGCCCCATACCCATACAGGGATAAGGTCCCCCCCACCCCGCTCTGACCCCCCCCAGTACATCACCATGTGCCGGGCACCATCGGGTGGACAGGAGAGCAGCGGGGAGGATGGGGGAAAGGGCATGGAGGAGACCGACGGACCTTTCCGCATCTGGAGGGGGAAGAGAAGGGGGGAGAAGGGAGCTGAGTGGGGGGCACGGCGGGGCGCGGAGCTGAGCCCGGTGACGTGCAGGGGAGGACGAGCACAGGGGACACCACCACCCTGCATGCAGGGAAGTCCCGCGGCCGCCGGCCCCACTGTGGGTTCCCCGGCACTGCAGGGGTGGGGGACGTCCCAGGAGCTCAGGAGGCCGACAGCCCCCCCGTGCCATGCAGGAGCCGCCCCCGCTGCGGCCCCCTTACCCGGTACACGCTGGCCGGGATGTGCATGGAGTACAGAGCTTCGTCCTCCACCTCCTGCGACACACAAAAGGGTAAAGCCCCGCCGCCCCCACCTCTGCGTCACCTGCAGCTGCCCTGAGACCCCTCCCCAAAATAACCCATCCCAACGTAGCCCACCCCAAAGCCCACCCCGTACTCACGCCGCCTCCGAAGGGCTGCAGCCGGGTCACCAGCTCCTCCACCGGCTGCCCGAAGGGTTTCAGCACCGAGCCCGGCTCGTACATGGAGAAAGCCTGGCGGTCACGGCGGTGCAGGGGGGCCGTGCCGGGGGGGTGGCCGTGCTCGGGGCGCTCGCTGGGGGCTGGGGTGGGGTGTGGGGGCACCGCCTGCTGCCGGATCTGCGTGTTCTCTGATTGCAGCTTGTGGATCTGCGGCAGGGGAGGCAGCGGTAAGCAGGGGTGGGAGGGAATAGGGAGAAAGGGAAAATGGGGTGCCTAGAGGGGGGGGCACACACCTCGCGCTGCAGCCGGCGCAGCTCATCGCTCAGGCTGTTGTTCACCTTCATCAGCTGCTGCACTTTGGCCTCGGAAGCAGCCAGGGCTTTCTTCACCTCCAGGTACTCCTGCAGCGTGATGGGGCCGTCTGACAGGTCGGAGGAGTCCATGCTCTGTGAAGGGAGAGGGGCTCAGCACCAGGAGCTGGGGGGTGGATCTGGGTGGTGGGGAGGGGGCTGCGCCCACCCGTGCGCGGTTGTTGCGGGATGCGTTGCGCAGCAGCTCCTGGTCTGTGTCCTCGTCAGAGGCGACACTGTCGTAGTCGTGCTGGTCGTCCAGGTCACTCTGGCTCCTCAGTGAATAGTCAAGGGCGTCTGTGGGGCCAGGAGGACTCAGCTGGGGGGTGTGGGGTGTTCCCACCCTCCCCTACTCTCACCCCATCCTCACCCGTGGGGCTGAGCGGGCTCTTGCCCTGCTGCCGGCGCTTGGCTTCCCCCAGAATATCAATGAGCAGAGTGGCAAACTCCCGGGCGTTGAACCTGGCCAACTTCTGCCGGCCCTGGGATGGCAGGGAGGATAAAAGCAGTGAGGAGGGGGGGGGTCCGAGCGTGAGGAGGGGTCTGAGCAGAGCGCTGGGCTCACCTGGTTGCGGGTGGCCGAATACTCGGGGTTGACGGGAAGGAAGGGGACGGCGCTGCGCTCGGTCACCAACGTGCTGTGGTTCTGCGTCGTCAGCCACACTGCGGGCAGGGGGAGCGTCAGGGGGGCACCACCCCTACGGGCTGGGGTCCTGGAGGTGCCATCCCCCCCCCAGCAGGCTGCAGGGCCGGCAGGACGCAGGCGCGGGCGTGGGGCCAGCGTGCAGGGCTGGGAGCAGAGCCCAGGAGGGCCGAAGGGAATGAGCTCCCCCAGCCCCACCACCTGCCCTGGAGGGGGGGCTCTGCACAGTGCTGAACCCCAGACCCCCTTCTGGATGCCCCCAGCTGACGAGGAGTAAAGTTCTGCGTGCCCGATCCTCCCCACCCGCCACGGAAAAGGGCTGCCCCCCTCCGCCCCAACCCAAGGACGGGGTGCAACCACGAGGCTCATCCCCTCCCCCAGGTGGGGTCCCAGCACCCACCTCCAGCGCCCGGCACCCCGATCCGGCACCGCAGCCCCTCGCTGACGGAAACGGCCCTCGGCCCCGGCCCGAGGAATGAGGAAGGAGGGGCCTGCGGTGCGGATCGGATCGGGGGGGAGCGCCGGGCTCTGCTCCTCCCCGCGCCGGGACGGCCGCCAGCATCCAGCCGGGAGGGGTGGACGGGGGGGGGACACCCAGCAGCCACCCCCAGCCCCGCTCACCCGCGTCGTTCTCGCGCCGATCCACCTCGTCGTACACATCCATGGCCAGCTCCTCGAACAGGCGGTTGCTGAGCTGCGGCGGGAGGGGGGAAGCATCAAGCTGGGGGCGGGGGGGAGGAACACAAAGCGCTGAGCCCCCCCAGCCCACCCCACCTCCTCGCAACCCCGTGCTCACCGCTTGCAGCTTCTTCTTGGCCGCCTTGGCCAGCTCGGACAGGTCCAGGCTGCGGGGTGCATGAGGTGGGGGGGGGGACACAAAGTTGAGGTTATTCTCATTCTGCCCCCACCGAAACGCTCCCCAGATGCACCCTGCGTGCCCCAGGCTCGGCAGCTTTGGCAGACATGGGTCCAGGGCGTGGGGTGGCACGGGGTGAGCAAACCCCCCCAACCCCCTCCCGGCTGCCCCCCAAAGGGCTGTGCTGAGCACCCAGAGCCCATCCCGGCGGCACGGGGGGATCCCTGGTGTGAGTGCTGAGCAGACAATACCTCTGTGCCATGCACTTGGGGCGCACCCTGCGCTCCGGAGGCAGCAGTGGAGGGAAGAACAGGATAAAGGAGGATGTTAAACCATTGCACGTGGCCCCCCCGGCACACAAACACACACACACACACACACACTCTAGGTGCTAGGAGATGTTCCAGCGGTGGTCACAGGCACAGGGTCTCCCCTTTTGGCCCAGCGGGGACACCAGGGGGACAATGACGGTGGCACGGCTGCGAGCACTGGGCACTCACCTGTCTGCCATCTGTGGGATGATGTAGTGCCCGTTCTTGTGGTCTGCACAGAGACAAAGGGTGGTGAGAGCAGCCCCCCTGAACCCTCCTAACCCCCCCAGACCACGCGATAGGCACAGCACTCACCCGGCTTCCTGCCGCACAGGTAGAAGGCCAGCCGGTCGGTCAGCTCATACTGGCACTCCACCAGCCGCTCCGCCAGCTCGTGCTGGGCCGCCTGCCTATGGGGCACGGCCGGGGTGACACCAACCCTGGGCCGGCCATGTCCCCCCCCCACCCCAACGCAACCCCTCCGCCACCCCAACGCGCTCACCTGGCGTAGTCGATGGGCGTCCGCCCATTGACGTCGGGCGCACCGGGGTCAGCGCCGTACACCACCAGCAGCTCTGCCTGCAGGATCTGCCCGGCCTTGGCGGCCACGTGCAGCGGCGTGGTGCCCTTCTCCTGCGGGTACAGGTGGTGTCAGCCCCGTGGTGACAACACGCAACCCCCTCCCGGGCTGGCTGTCCCCCGCCCCAGAGCTCACCGGGTGGAAGAAGTTGGCCTGAGCACCCAGTGAGAGCAGGCGCAGGCACGTCTCCAGGTTGCCTGTCCGCACGCTGGAGTGCAATTGCTGCAGGGGGAGAGGCAGCAGTCAGTGCCAGGTGAGCCGCTGGCACCGAGGGGGGGTCCCCCGTCACACCGTGCCCCCACCTTGCTGAGGTCCTTGGCGGTGACGCCGTCGTCGTCCCGGCACGGCAGCTTGTGCACAAAGGCCAGCATCTGGTACTTGGCGCGGATGAACTCCGACTTGGTGGGGCTGGCAGACACAGGGTGAGGGGGGGAGGCATCCAGCACAGCCCCCCCCTTCGCAGCCCCAACCCCACAGCCCACACTTACTGCACTTTGTCCTGGGGGTTCGCCTTCCTGCGCCCGCTCTGCACCTGCGCCGGGTCCAGCAGCGAGTGCTCCCAGATGGAGTTGGCCCCATTGCTGGCCAAGGTGTGCACCATCTGTGTGTGTGGGGGGGGCACGGTGAGCGGTGGGACACCCCCTCGTATCCCCACGCCCCTCCTGGGTGCACCCACCTGCAGCAGCGTGGCGGGCCAGGGGCTGTGCCGCAGGTGCTTGACGATGGAGATGTGGCGGCCCAGGCTGCGGTGCACACTGCAGCACTCGTCGCAGATGAGCACACCACGGTTGATGGAGGCCCAGCCCGGGTCTGCAGGGGGCGTGGGGTGTTAAGGGGCGGGGGGGAGGGACCCTCCATCCATCACCCAAAATGAGGTTGGGAGTTGGGGAGGGGGGGAGGGAGGGTGGCAGCATCACCGTAGCAACGTAGCGGTTTCCAGGGTGACAGAGAGGGGCTCAGCCCATCGCCAGGGGAAACCCAAAGGGTTCCCTTAGCAACCAAGGGGGGGGGGGTGGGGGCAGGATTTGGCCCCCCTATCAGAAGGGCTGACAGCAGCAGGGGCAACGCCAGCACCATGCAGTACACCCCGAGTTGCTGAGGCCGTGCACCCCCGGGCCGAGGACTGTGGGTGTCCCCATACAGGTGGGTGCCTTCCCACCCACTCAGCCATCATGGACTCAGGGGCTGTGCCCCCCCCCAGCAGCCCCACGCCCCCCGCCCGGCCCCGCTCGGCCGCACTGGAGCCCTTTGTGTCCCCAGGAGAACAAAGGGACGTTTGAGCACTGCGTTGGCACCAGCCCTGCTCCGGCCATAGGGGCCCCACTGCTCTTTGGGGGCAGCTCCCCACGGCCGGCACCCCAAAGGGTCTGGGATCCCCAGCACAAACAGAAGGGACTGGGGACAGATGGGGCGTCAACCCCCCTCCACGCAGGGTGCCACGGCCAAACCCTCCCCAGTGTCCCTCTGTCGTAGCGGAGCAGTGCCAGCCCTGCCCAGCCCCAGCGCTGTGCTCCCACCCTCGTTTCTGTAGGGCCCACACAAACACCGTGCCGCCCCACGGAGGAAGAGCTGCAGCCTGGGGGATGGAGGGGGGGGGACAGCAGAGGGGCGGCAGCGCTGTCCCTGCACAGCAACCCATCCCCATCACCCCGTACAGCATTTCCTTCCCACCCCCTCCCCAAAACCCCGCTGCTGCCCCACACCAGGCAGCCCCAGCCCCCTGTGTTGGGGGGGGCACAGCCAGCAGCGGCCCCACGGCGGTGTCGTTCCACCCCCCCCGACACACACACACACACACACACACACCCCATCCTGGCAGCACCACCCGGGCAGATGGCAGCGTTTGGCAGCAGCACCGCCGCATCTGCACCTCCGCACCGCGGCCCACGGGGCGCTGCCGGGAACAGGATGCTGCGTGCCGGGGTGCACCCCAAATAACACCCCATATAACACCCCATATAACACCCCGTACAGCGCCACCCCCTCCTCCTTCAGCGGGGATCGGGGCGGCTGAGGGCACAGCGGCACGGGGATACTCCCAAAACCCGGAGCACGGGGAACTCCATCCCTGCGCCGCGGGGGCGATGCCGGAGATGGTTACCCCGCGCATCCCAACACCGGCTGCTCCCGGCCCCGCGCCGTAGGAAGCGGCCTCTGGACTTTATAACTCATTTCCTCCCATGGCCGCCGGGCGATAAGGGATTGGAAGAAACCGCTTTCCATTTCCCCCGGTAGGAACCTCGGCGCCGCCCCGCGGGGAGCGTCGGGTACCCTATAGAACAGGGTGACGCACAGCACCCGGTACCCCATAGCGGTGGGTGACCCCGCAGCCCCCGGCACGTGGCCGCCATCCTCCGGGCTCTGAGCCGCTTTCCGGGCTCTCAGCGTTCATTCATCGCCCCCAGCGCCGCAGGGATGGGTTTGGGGGTCACATTGTGGGGAGGGGGGGGATATGTAGGGTATGTTATAGAGTTCCTGGGGTGGAGAGGGAATTCCCAGCGCGGGGTGCAAAGGGGAATCCTGGGGGTAAAGTAGGGGGTGCAGAGGGGGGTGATGGGGCGCACCAAGGGGTGCAACAAGGGATCTGGGGGGCACGGGGGGGGGCATATTTAGGGCACGCTGTAGGGTTTCTGAGTGCAGAACAGGGGCAGCGGGGGGGCACGGCGCTGGGTGCCAAGGGGGACCCTTGGGGTAAAGCAAGGGCTACAGAGGGGTGGGTAATGGGGTGCACCGAGGGCTGTGGGAGGGACGGGGGGGTTTATTTAAGGCACGTCGTGGGGTTGCCGTG